GAAAACACACTTAGTGGTAAGTAATCAGTGATGCCAATATTGAACATATTGTTGCTGTATTTTCTTTTTGGCGGAGCTTTATCTTTTTAGTTAGTTTTCAGCTATTTTATCCTTCTGTTTTAGAGAAAACATCCTCGTAAAGTCGAACAATACACCGAATTGATGAATACGGCAAGATCATCAAAACGAAAAGCGAGTGTATGTGGGGCTTCCACAAAACTAGCTAAGCAGACAAAGCTCAATTTCAATCCAGCAAACAATGCAAACCAAATAACTGTCATCTCCGCTATCCTTGAGTTCATTTGTGGCGCTTGCATGCCTTTTTCTATTGTTGAAAACCCGTCGTTTTGTTCGCTTATTAAAACCTTGCAACCGAATTGCACTGTGCCGACTCGCAAAACTGTGAAGTTAAAACTTGATGGCATGGCAAAGACAACAAAAGAAAATCTCTGCAAAGAATTCTTAAATGTTACTCATGTTGCAACAACAACGGACTCAATTGGATACCTCGTACCGACCATTACCATTCTTAAAGATAAGCTTATTAAAAAGAAAGAGAATGCGTCCTGTGCTGCAATAACTGCCCTAGCGGATGCCCTCATCGATGGTTTAGACCGCCGTTTTGCACGCTACCTAAATAATGGAGAGATGATCGCTGCTGCTCTTCTCCATCCCTGCTTCCGAAAGGGTTGGCCTATTAATGACACACAAATGCAAGCAGGTACTTTTGACAATGCAAGTAACCAATACTAACTATATACCAGTACCAGTTTCCATTTAACTAGGTTGCTAAATGTTGTGTACATGCACTGCATTGCGAGGCTGAGAGATTGCTTTCTGTTCAGGTAAAGAATACATTTTCGAAAATGTGGTCACAGAAGGGGTGAACAACCATGAAAACAACAACAAATCCGCCACGGCTGGTAATGATTCTGACAGCGACGATTTCTTCGCAAGACCAAGCACCATGACCTGCGACAGCAAAAGTATGCTTATGGATTGGCTCAGTCGACCTCCATCAGAGCGCCTGGCAGTCGAGGAATTTACTGCATTTAAGCCTCTCCTTCCGCTGTTTGTGGCAACAAACACTGGACTTCCGTCCAGTGCCTCTGTGGAACGTCTATTTAGCTCCGCTGGACGTATATTCCAGCCAACGAGGGTAACTTTAACTGACCGTAATTTTGAAAATCAGTTATTGGTTTTTTTAAATGAAAAGTGGCACTCCTGAACATTGTAGTGCTCAATTACAAAAATGTTGCTTTGTGTTTACTGTTGCTACTCGTAAGTTAATTTGTTATAGATGACCATAGATTACATTACAGCCTGAGTTAGTACTTAGTAGTTGCTCCAAATATAGTAAAACCAAAAAATATAGAGTAGCGAAATAGCGAAATAGTTCGCTACATTTTTTACGCAGTAGCTGTAGTCAGTAGCGAACTACCTTTGTTCAAAAGTAGCAGTAGTTGTAGCTGACTACA